AAACCTAAGTAAAACTTCTGAACGTTATGCAGCTTTAAAACCTTATTACAGGTAACAGAAAAAAACAATGTTTTAACGTCTCCATAAGTAGATATAGACAGTCGGGAAACTTTGACCTAGTATTATTAGTTAGTGATACATATCCATTCTTATTTATTAATCAGGATTTCCTATGCGTCATCTAACATCACACCGTCATGTCTGTTCAAACTGTTAGTATCTAGAATTGTATGATTAGAAGTATTTTTAAAATTATGGTGTTTAGGACTGATTAATTAAGATGGTTAATTAAGTATAAAAGAGCGAAAACAACACAACATTTTAAAACACCACAGCATCAATAATATCTCACAGTTAAATCAAACAATAGACAAAATGTTACTCGGTTTAGTCTAGTGATGAGGTGAATACAAAAAAGGTGTTTCTCTTGCTAACGTAGTTTATTTTTTTGAGATTGATTTGAAGTGCACTCTGTGTAAGACAAAACGCACGTCGACACATGTAAGTGAATTAACACTTTAGTATTGACAAATAATCATATTTATGGTTGTCAGATATCAGAATATAAGTGATGGATCATGTCTACTGCATTTCATAATGATTTGACATCACTTAGAGAACTACAGGAAATCCTGAAAGTGCTGGACGGTATTTTCGTCCTAGTTTGTGACCGACAGCCGGTGTCCTAACCCAGGAACTTCGGTTAACAAGGCAAACTCCTAAATCAAGTAAAAAACAGCAACACAACATTTTAAAAATCTACAGAAATAAAATAGCTCACAATTAAAACAAACAACAGAAAAAATTTAACTTGGTTTATTCTACTGATGTGGTGAATACAAAAAGGATGTTTCATATGAGATTGATTTGAATGTCACTCTATGTGAGACAAAATGTATGTCAATACATGTAATTGAATATAAACGTTTGTATTGACAAACAATCACATTTAAAGTTGTCAGATATCAAAAGATCAGTGACGGATGTGAACCACTGGAAATCCCTAAAGTGCTGGACCACGTTTTCGTTTTAGTTTTTGACCAACCGTCAATGTTCTAACCCAGGCGAACGGGTAGACCAGTGAGTCGTTTGGACTAGAACCAGTGCCCAGTCTATGAATTCCCAATTCTGTCGATTATATATCTGTCGACGACATAGCGCAACCAATTGTCAGTGTCAATCGCCATGACCTGCTGTCCGTTCACGTTAAGGACTTCTCACTATGTAGAAAACTAAGTGAGCTGTCTTTATCGTTTTGTTTTAGTTATTGTGCAAACGAAATCAGCAGACGATTGATATAACTTTCTATGAGGTGTTAGCTGAATAGTTTGGCGAAAACAAGTCAGAAGTCTCAGATGTGGTGTCCAAGAAACTAACGTACAATTTATAAACTACGACCAGTTGACTCTAACTGTATCATCTAACACTTAGTAATACTGAAGCAAAATTATTTAAACATTCCACGTCACCCTCTCACTGACGACCCACTCGAGCCATCACTTGGCGGGCACGTGGTGTCATTTGACAGCCTTCTCAAGTTATGTTGGATCCATTTCTTCTTTCTTCGTCATATGCGTTGAGCAGTCGTCCCTTAATTGGTGTTTTTTTAACCAGAGTTTTTCTGCTGATTCTTCCTGGCTAGTCAACTGATCTTCATTATGGAGCTAACGAAATAAGCAGCTGTTGAATAAGGTTTGTAACTTGTTGGAGATCCTTTTCGTGACTTATAGTGCAAGTGTATGACCCGCATAGAAAACTGACTGCCGGATTTCACATTTCTGTTGAAAATCCGAATCTTGTTCTTCATATTGACTGGGTGCAGAAGATTTTCAAACTGATTCCTGATTGATGAAGGCATATCTCCCCTCCTCAATTCTGGCATTGACGTCTATATCCGTCCTACCTGGGATTTAAGCAATGCTTCCTGGAAAAGTGAAGGAATCAGCCTCTGTCGAATGTTTGCTACTGATGTTGAATGGTGGTGTATGTTCATGTGCAGTTCTGTCTTCACTACCTGCCTCCCCAGTCAGTTTCTTGATTTCTGTTGATAGTCTTTGGGTCTATGCGGTAATAAACATATGTCATCTGTGAAATAGAGATCTTCTAGAGTCTTCTTATCAGCGGTTCAGCGTACTCCTGTCTCATCCCTCCCATGCACAGTCTGACACTTGCTCCAGTCCACCACAATTAGGAATATCACCACTGGTACTAATATACAGCCCTGTCTTACTCCTGTGTTCACTTCGAACGCCTCACCGAGTTTCTCATTGTGGATCATCTGATTTATGGAAGATATTATCATATAGTCCACTGTTGAATGAAGTTAAAAATAATCGAGCATAGGACGCCATAGTGTTCAAGAGGTATTCAAATGACTTATTCTTCAACTCTGTAAGAGACTTTTTCGACTTCGATTAAGTTGAGGTAGAGGCTTGACTGCCGTTCTACGCCGTCTTTCGATGACGATGTGCAGATTTTCAATTCGATCAGCACAAGATTCGCCTTTCCAGAATCCAGCTTGTTCTAGTGGAAAGAGTCCTGCATCCAATGCGACCTTTGTCGTCTGCAGGATGACGTTACTTGGTATTTAAATTGGTGTGGACAAGAACAATATTCAACGCCGGTCCTTTCAGAGTGTGGCATAAGTCGACTTTCCTTAGTAGTTCGACAAAAACTTAAGCCTTCCTGACAATCGGTTAGCACCTTTCTTTTCTTCCAAACCTTTTGAAGTAACGGCGTCAGCATATTTGCCAAAGTCTCTAGGTCCAGGTTTACTGGGGTCGCGAAAGCTGTATCCAATCTGAAATGATGCTGATGATACGACTCAAGTGATGTCTAAAGGTGGCTGTGATGAACCGTTGACTAGGTTATCTAGGATATTAGCTAGTGTGTCAGAATCTGCCATAGCTTCATTGTCCAAGGTTTATAAGTAGCTAGAATTATCTTTAGGATACTCAAAGGGTATCGAATATTGTAGGTTTAAATCCCTATACACATTATGCGAGGAGAGATTGAATGACAGATGAAGCTCTGCACATTTTATTTCCACCCGTCGACAGAATTCACTGCACCAAAATGCTGACTGGCGTCCAACACTTTCTATTTCCTTTACCTGAAGAGGTACTTCGTTTCCCTCACTGAACATTCGACGATCTGACTGTTTGTAGCGCATTGATTACTTAAACGTAAACAATTAATAACGTGAAGGTGGGAAGAAAGTTGAACATGTTTAAGACCATTATTTATTGTTTGTATTTATATTCCATTGTTCTGTGAATCCACTGCTTTTCATCAAATAGCACGATGTGAAACGACTATGCATTGTGAAATAGTTACAAACTAATCATAAGTATACTTAATTAGTATACACATAGTGATAACTTCTTTGTGTTTCGGTGATATTGCGAGGTAAACAAAAACCCAGTGTAATGTAATTATAATTAATTTGTGGTTATTACATGAATAAGCACGCAACTATTAGAAGGTTCTCGCTAAGTGAATTTTGTAGTGAATTGAGGCCCTCACCACAACTTCAAAGCACTACGAATCAAATTTTAAGGTGTGATTTGAGCAAATCTGTAAATAGTTGATTGGCTTTTTTATTTGACTCCTATAACTACTGGACTTCGATGCAACTATGTTGCCATTACAGTAGTTCAAACCCTATGATCTATCGCTAGTATCTTTTTGGTGTGATTATTGAGAATTTCAAAGTCTGTAATCACCGTATCATCTTACATATTAGAATTCGATGAATCCATAGTTTATTAGGCTTAACCATGGATATCTTTCTGTGAACAAAGATCGAAATGCTAATCAAATTTTACTTTACCAATCAATATTTTTTGTTTACAATTCCTTATTTAATTCGATCATCGAACTAGTAAAAATGATATTTCAAAGAACATATATGAACACATCTGAGCATGCCTTGATCATTGTAACAGCCTAAACAAATTATTATGGATTGGCCATCATCCTCCATCGACAACCATCATTTTGAAAATGTCACATGCGTGAGTAGGTTTTCATATAAGCATAATTATAGCGTCTTCAAATGTCTTCTTTATACCGAAGTGTTTCCTGTGTTTTCACTTGTATAGTGATCATTGTTTCTGTCGACACTACTTAAATCCCACAAACCTGCATATTTATTTCCAGTTTAATACCTTTAATAATTGTATATGAAAGTGGTCCATTTATGCTGCCTTGCTGTCTTCCGAATTTAAACTCATAATAATTTTGTTCGTAATATCTAATTAAAATTATGTCAGAAGCATTTCATTAAATTGATTTGTGTCTTCTACCTGTGAATATATGTTCACCTGAAACCGTTATATTCTCATTTGTACTTCACTCGGATGTGAATGAGACCGTTTCTTTCTCAGAGCTTATTTTATGTCAAACATCAGCAAAAGAAGTGACTTGTAAGAAAGATAGTAATGAAGGTTAGTGATGCACTGCAGGTTACACTGAAGTAACGTGACCAAAAATGCATTGAAATGTGCAGAATTTCAATTCTTATTTACCTTAATTAGGTTTCTAGAGAAAATGTTCACCCTATAATCAGTCATTTTGGATATTCAACCATAAAAGCATCATTTCACACATAATTCATCCTGAGACTAATTAATATTTTGCAGATATTTGAACTGTGTCAGGAATGCTTTTATATAGATATCAGTGCAGATATTTTAAGTACTTATCATCTTTTACAAGAGGCTTTGTGAACCTCAGAGTGATTGCTGATGTTAAAAATCAAGATCCACACAGTATTTTTATTACTGCAACCAAAAATTCACCGAAGATTTATTCTTCCGAAGAACTTGTTGAACGCAAATAAACGTGGAAGATTTAGTGCACAAATATTGAAATATATTAAACATTTGAAATGTCCACTGTTGTACATTGAATCAAAAACACAGTCACTGTGGTATGTAATAAATCACAGCACACGAATCACGATCGCGAGTGTCATCCGATTTTCAGCTCATTTGAGGAAGCTGGCAAAAAGCAGAGCTAACTAAAAAAAAAGAGACAAAATTAAATCTGACAACATGCATTTTTAAAATTCTAATTAATTTTGCGTCAGTCTGTTGATTTGCTGAGTTGAAGGCATTTCATGTTTCACAAGAATGAATAAAGTGAACAGTCGATCCAGATTTAAACATGGTTCAAAAGTTGTAATAATTTCACGCATATCATACTTCTAAAATCTTAATGCGAGTGCAACACAGTGGTACAGGCCTCAACCCTGAAATCTCAGAAGCACTAATATTTACTTTGTATGGGGTAGGGTCGGTAGCCGCATGTCCAACCTACCATCTTAGTAAAAATTACTACTGGAGGAAGAAATGGAAGTTACGACGATATGTGTGGTTGGGTGGCATTATACTTCCCAACCACTGGCAGACTTGCAGCATCATAAAACCTCGTAAATTCCTACTTTGCTTTCAATAATCTCTGTCTCTTGAAATCAATTCACTGCGTTACATTCTAGTAGGAAAACGTTCTCACAAATTAAGATATTAATTTTAACTTACCAAATCAACAGCAGTGTTCAAAATGCCGCCGGCCAAAACAGTCGAAATTGGCTGAAATATGTTGAAGTGAATTAAACTGTGAATTTTGAGTAGGAATTCTAACAGATCAAATGCATAATTAAATTCTTAGTACTTGAGTAGTGAATCAATGCTGCCAGGTGGAATAGGTCTCCATACTCTGTATGTACTTGAGTATGGGATTTCATGGGAGGTGTGATGAAATAAGGAGTACTAAATCTTTCTTTATGTCGCATTTCAGCGTCACTTTTCTTAACATTGCGTGAAATAATCGTCCCATATCACTGATTATATTCATATCGAAGGACTAAGTTATTGTTTCGAATACACCGCGATTTTTGAATTGCTATGGAACTACTCTAATCTGATTCCTATTAACATGTCAATGTATGGTTGTTTAACCTCAAGAATATATACAGACTGAAAAATAACTGAAGTTAACATGGGAAATAAACACATCATAAAAATTCAGGAGATGATAATAGGAGTAAATGTGAAAATGGTAATTTTTATTTTGCATTTCAATTCACTTACACCCAGCCGTCCTACATTAATCGTATATAAAGCAACCGCAAAACATGCCACTGTAATGCACAATAGTGCAATCGCTACTCCTTTCTTGAATCTTCTAGTCAAGGAGCAGAAGATAATCGTCAAGATATCTTCGAGAATAATGAAGCCAATTAAAATATAACATGGCTGTTTGAATTCACAAGACATCAGAATGATTTCTGCTGACCACAGTAAAACCTGTCGGTAAAGCAATTTGAAAATTTTGAACAGGTAAATAGCAATAAAAATATTTTTGTTCATCAATCTGACATAAAATCTCAATTTCACGTGAAATAACACGAAAATTTATTTTAAATAGGTTAAAAGGAACAATTATTTTTGTTTCAAAAACCGGTGAAAATCTGCGCAAAATTACAGAATCACATTTCGTGCTTCTTGGCTTCCATCGCCGCAGCCACCCAACATTCTTGAAGTAACCGAAGTTGTCTGAAAAATTCATTTCCACAGTTTGAAAAAATAGAATAGTATCCAGCTGTTCGAGTCGAAGTTTAATCTTCCGTAAGAAAGGTGTGTACCATTGCAGTATATCTCCTTCTGAATACCGCTGACTGAATTCCATCACACATGTTTGCTTACCATTTCAACATAACTGTGATAAATGGTAAACAATACAAAGGATAATGGTTAACATCAAAGACGTTTTCTTGGAAATCCCTCACTTCACATTGTTTACATTTGAAAATCTCATTACAAGAAAGGTTTCGACTTTCGAGCAACTGGTACAACAGACACGAAATGATCATGAGTAGGTGAAGTCAACTCATGCCATTGATGCCTTTCAAAAACTCACCATTATTCCTATTAGGACCAATGCGACCGATAATTTAGTTCTGAATTTTAAACCCAATAATAAAAAAAGCAGCAGATTCACACCTCTGAAATGGGAATGAAAACAAAGTTTGATGAGCTAAGAAATCGTAGACACAGTTGTATGTGCGTACAAGTTACAAACTGTTAGTGCGTGCTTCCACATTAAATTCCGTGTTCAGACGTATTACTCAGAGATTCTATTTTAAATTGAATGAAGTATCGAACAGCAATGATTACTCGCATACACACAGCTTTACTGCCATCGTCTGTTGATGGATTTAGATCTTACTCAGAGTATTCATTTCGAATAAGTAAAACAGAATCTTCCATAAATCTGAACCTATTCCCAGTATATAATAATACATATGGTTGCAAATGAATGCCCTCTTCATCCTTGCATTGATGCAGTACCTTGTTTAAGACGAAACAAATTCGCTACAGTGAATATTTTTGAAATCGCAGTCCCAGTTATCCTCATTTTGTTAAATTTTCTTAAGTATCTGCTAGTCATTATTCTCAAGATGTCGTCTGGGTGGAATTTGAAGTATTAGCGAAACAATGACAAATCGTTGAGAACATAACTGCATAGTTTTAGTCACATAGATAGGCCTAATACGATATGACGGACTATGAACGTTTAAAGTGCAACATATCCTTATAAGTAAATAGAAACCCATATGAAATCAGATCCATCACTTAGATCATTAGCTGACTTCAGTTCATGGCTCTAGTTCTTCGTAGCTGGACGTTACATTTTTGAGATTAAAATCAGAACTTGACATAAATATATGGACGATCATCTACTACTATTGGTTTTAATTTGAAAGGCAATAGAAATCCAGACTTACAGACACGCGACTGCTGCATAATCTTGCCACTCGAATTTAATCATTTCTCCCATCTGAATAATAATAATAATAGATTCATTAAAAATAAGTCATTATTCAGAATATTTACATACAATTTATAGCAACTAAATTGATGAAGCCGTCATAAATGCTTGTTGTTCGTGATGGCTACAGACATATACGAAACCCATGGATTGTGATGTCAAACCTTTCAGCATGAATGTTTGATGCATTAAGATATAACGCGATGCCTTCATGACAATTTCACATCCTACGAAACCCACATTATCTAGAATCCATATTAAACAAACAAATAATAACAGATACATAAAATTCAATAGATTCGCCTAGAAATAAGTATCGGTATATGTACATGGAAATATAGCAACCGTTAGTAAGTGGATTAAACATTTCAATTTACTACAATGAGGCTTCTAGTAAACGCTGCTCACGTATATTACATGTTCAGAATGTTAATGAGCAATACAGTTTGATTTAACTTTTTCGATCCGTGTTCATTTATGTTCCACTTTATTTTAATAAATTTATTGAATAGGATACCAATAATATACAAAATGAAAGATAACCGAGATTAAAAGAAAATGCTTCTCTTTCAAATTAACATTTCTCTGATGTTATGATCACTGCTCGAGATTGACATCAAGTATTGTACCTCATAAACGATGGTATCATAAAATTAGAAGACCCACGATTACACGCAGAATGAAGCATTTTAAATCTTGAGACTTATCACAAATAACGATACTAGCGAAAAATCGAAATAATTGAACAGCTAACCTGTGAAACGAAAACAATCTATCACTCGATGTTATAAGAATCGTTAAAACAAATGCTAAATTATCGTGCTAATATATCCATTTCATTCTGTAAACTTTGATTCGTATTTTTTTACACTTATGGTGAGTTGTTAAATAATTTAAAACAAAGATTTCTATTCACGTCAAAGACTTATTTACTTGTGGGCATAATCATTTATTCGCATCCATAGCCAAGTAATGCTTAAGATAACGACTTAAATTTTTTTATTATGAACCTTGTAGTTTTATTTGATGAAAAGCGATGAATTCATAGAGCAAAGATATATGAAAGGAAACAAAACATTTTCAGGTCGACTAACCTATTCGCTTACTGTGGATGTTTGTGGTATGATTGTGCTCGATATCGTCAATGCGTTTAGTTCTAACTTCAGTCGCTATGTGGACTTAGATACTAACACCGTTTGTTGTTTCTTCTGTTTTATGTCTTACCCGTCCCCCCGCCTTTCATCTTTGAAAATGTATAAATTGACGATAAAAATTTAAACTAAATATAGTATTGCTTGCATTTTGGATTCGCCAGTTTCAAAATATTTCTTTTCTACTACTAATTTAACAGTTAAGTATGTTATTACCATCTATATCACGATTTTAATTTCCGGTAGTCTCCAGATGATGAGAACCAGTGAAATAGAATGATATCATTTTATACTGCAAAACTGATCTTTCTTTCTCTATCGAAATTTATCAAGGGGACCAAATGTAATAAATATCATCACCTTGTTTGACCAGCACGAAAAAGTTCACTTAGGCATTCCAGACTAAACTTTGATTCGCTGAAGTTAGCTGGATAACAAGAGCCTGCAAATATGTTGTCACTTTTTCTTGAGAAACATCCAGAGCAAATACACAGTTTAAATGCAGATGATTGTTTTATTCAACTAAGTTCTCTAAGCCACAGAATCGTCAACATAAAGACGAGGTGGATGCATTTCAAATACCCTTCCGTGTGAGCAGATGAAATACATTCATTATTCTGTTAATTACTTGAAGACAATCATCAATAAGCCGTTGACATAGTATTGAATTAGCTGACACAAGGCATATAAGTGTGTCTGCAAACTTGCTCATTTCAATGTGCAGCTAAGCTGAAATACATCTAGAGAATTGTAGAAACTGAAGCATATTACATAGGAGGAATAAACAGACATGATTGATCGAGACGGTTTCAGTTCACAGTGATGTTCCTGCTAAATGAATAAAGACAAAATCTTATTGTCAGAAGAATGCATGCAAATAAAAGAGGCAAAATAAAAAATATCTGCTAGGGATGGAAAATCGAATACTCCTTGTCCCTTTAATATTTCACGCTATCAAGATCCGTATCTGTGGTACTGATCTGTAACCATAGCCAAACACAGACAGCTTTTGATTACAAATTTGCCAACATTATGCGCATTTTACAATGTACTTAAACTACAGTTGCCAGGCCAATATGAACTGTGTATCTGCCTTGTTATAAAATGATTTGTATTTCTTAATGATTGAAAAACGAAACGATATTATTTTTATTAACGCGTCGCTATCTATCGTCCTTCATAACTTTATCAAAGTAGAATGAAATCAGAATTTAAGATTAGACACAGTAATTTAATAATCTTTCTTCAGCATGAGGTTATTTTTACATTGTCACTTTGGTAGGTTATTGACGATAACCATGTGTAGACTCTTCATTGAATCCCATCTTTTGATTTCCTAGATGTGATGTCTCCATTCAGCCAGCTATCATCCATGAGTGAAAATCACATGATCTGAACGCAGGAGATCAATCTATGTGGCTGACTGTATTGCCGACCACAGAATGCCTCTACGACAGAAGAAAGACAAATATTTGTAGAGAAATCAGCAGTACCCTTCAATAATCATAATATATAAAAAGGCTTAATTGACAAGACAGTGTCACTTTTTAGACGCACAGACTAATTTAGGTCTCAGCCGTAATGAACGAATCGAAATCAACTCTATGAAGTACCTAAAAATCATGAAGGATTTTTGACAAAAAGTGGAATAAAACTCTCCTTGCAAGAATCACACATTCAACACTTCTCACAGACACTCCAGCGTAGAAGTGATATTGAGTCAGTCAAAAGAAATCGCAAATGTCATCACACAATCTCATAAAGTAATTAAACAGGTATAAAAACAATCAATTTAGATTGAGTGAACATGTGATGTGCAAACGCCAGAAAAATGGAGTGTTAATTGCAAAATTACAAGAAACATTTCAGTGAGTATAAGTATTTTAAATTGATCGGTCAGCAGGCATTAGATAAAAATGAACAGCGGTTCGAGCCATCGCCGAAGCAAAGCTGTTAGAGTGAAGATATAGTCCAGTACAGGTTTCTTTTCTATTGATGGACTTTTCGACCCTGCCTTCGTTTGTTCTTTTTACATTTAGATCCAGGAACTTGAACTCATTATTATGTTCATATTCCATGGTGAATTTGATATTTGAATGGGTTTCATTTAGGCGATAATATAATGCCGATGCGTGATTCATATCGTTGCAAACAACAAATTTGTCATCAACATATCGGCGACAGTAGGTCGTTCCATTGACTGCATAACTTAGTTTTGCCTGCTCAAGGTAGCCCATGAAGATATCAGCCAGGATAGGTGCCAGAGGCGAACCCATCGCTACCCCATCGATTTGTCGGTAAAGTTGATTGTTGAATTTGAATTGTATACCTTTTGTGCAGAGCAGCAGAAGTCGTTTCATCTCTGTTTCACTTAGGCATTCCAGACTAAACTTTGATTCGCTGAAGTTAGCTGGATAACAAGAGCCTGCAAATATGTTGTCACTTTTTCTTGAGAAACTTTCAGAGCAAATACACAGTTAAAATGCAGATGATTGTTTTATTCAACTAAGTTCTCTAAGCCACAGAATCGGCAACATAAAGACGAGGTGGATGAATTTCAAATACCCTTCCGTGTGAGCAGATGAAATACATTCATTATTCTGTTAATTACTTGAAGACAATCATCAGTAAGCCGTTGACATAGTATTGAATTAGCTGACACAAGTCATATAAGTGTGTCTGTAAACTTGCTCATTTCAATGTGCAGCTAAGTTGAAGTACATCTGGCGAATTGTAGAAACTGAAGCACATTACATAGGGGAATAAACAGATATAATTGAACCAAACCAAAATTTCAGATTTTACACAGTAATTTAATAGTCGTCCTTCAGCATCAGATTATTTTTACATTTTCACGTTGGTAAGTTGTTGACGATAACCCTGCATAGACACTTCATTGAATCCAATGTTTTGACTTTCTATATTTGATGTATCCATTCAGCCAACTATCATCAATGAGTGAATATCACATGACCTGAACGCAGAAGATCAATCTATGTGGCCTACTGTATGGCCGACCACAGAATGCAAAAAGACAATTATATGTAATGCGATCAGCAGTATCTTTCAATACTCAAAATAATATTTGAAAAGACTAAATTGACTAAACAGTGTCACAGACGAAATTAGGTCTCAGCCAAAATGAATGAATCGAAATTAACTCTGGGAAGTACCTAAAAATCATAGAGAATGTTTACCACAAAGTGGGAATAAAACTGTCTATACAAGACTCAAACATTAAATAGTTCTCACAGACAGCTTAGTGGCGAAACAACATTGAGCCGCTCAAACAAAATCGCAGTTGTCATCACACGGCCTCAGAGAAAATGATTAAAAATAGTGATTAAACAGGAAGAAAGACAATCAGTTTGGATTTAATGGACACGTGATATGCAAACGCCAGAAAAATAGAGTGTTAATTATAAAATTACTGCAAACATTTAAGTGAGCATACATATTGTAACTTGATATTTCGGTATGGATTAAACGAACACTTATTCTGTTACAGCGTAAAATTCTAGTTCTCTTCAGTAGTTTATTGGGGCAAGGTCGAATGTCCCTTCAGATATTCAAAAAACTAGTTAACTCATGTATCGGATTAATAGAAAAGTGTTCTTTATTGACTCATGACCAAGTTTCAGAGTTGACATAACTGTGTCTTCAGGCTTAATGTTACTTTCATCAGTTTATTATCACTTGTCCGTGAATGTCAGTGAGACATAAAATACAATGAAAGAATGAGAAGCAACTTCGCAATGGTCAGTGCGTTTGGATAAATCAATCATTCGCAATGAATACCTTATCTCAAACAAAAAGTAAACTGCATAATGAATACAATAAAATAGAAAATATCGGTCA